GTAAAAGAATAAAACATGTTTAAAAACATAAACTACTCTGAAGATAATTATACCAGGTCTCCCAGAAAGGATGCATTTGAAAATCTGTGGGCCTAACAAAGGAAGTATCTGGAGATACGCGCAAAAACGCAGCATAAATAAAGTGATATTGATGTTGACATGTGCAGCGCAGATAAAATGAGAGACTGTTGTGTTCCTTACACAGATCATAAAACTAACATGGGCAAGTAATGAGAGAGGCTGTTTCTTAGAAGGTGATACAGCTTGAATATTTGGCCCCCTCCAAATCTTATGTTGAAATGTGATCCCCAGATGGGCATGGTGGCTCATGCCTGTAATCCCCAGCACTCTGAGAGGCCAATGTAGGGGGATTACTTGAGGTCAGGAGTTCAAGAATAGCCTGGTCAACATAGTGAAACCTTGTCTCTACGAAAAATGCAAAAATTAGCTGGGGATGGTGGTGCAGACCTATAATCCCAGCTACTCAGGAGGCTTAGGTAGGAGAATTGCTTCAATCTGGGAGGCAGAGTTTGCAGTGAGCTGGGATTGCACCACTGCATGCCAGCCTGGATGACAGAGCAAAATTCTGTCTAAAAAAAAAAAAAAGAAAAGAAAAAGAAATGTGACCCCTAAAGTTGGAGGTGGGGCCTATTTGGAGGAGTTTGGGTCATGAGAGCAGATACCTCCCAGCAGTAAGGAGCTCACATAAGATCTGGTGGTTAAAAAGTCTAGGACCTCCCTCCTCTCTCTTCTCCCCGTTTCACCATGTGACATACTAGCTTCCCTTTGCCTTTTGCCGTTAATAAAACCTTTCTGAGGCCTCACCAGAAGCAGTTGCTTGAAGCCATGCTTCTTGTACAGTTTGCAGAACCGTGAGCCAAATAAATCTCTTTTCTTTATAAATTACCCAGCCTCAGGTATTCCTTTATATATAGTGACACCAAATGGACTATCATGGAAGCCTCCTTCAGTACAAATAAAAATTTCTTGACTAATTTCACTGACAATATTTTTCAAAAGATGGAAGACAAAACATTAAATTGCTGCTCCAGAGTTATTTCTGTCCTGCAAAAAATAACCAGCAGGTAACAAGGATGTGTTGTAAACCTTCAAAAATAAACAAAGGTATTTAAGCTACAAAAAGAAAAGAAAGAGAAGGGTGAGTATAGAAGAATAAGTGCTACAGATATACAGAAAGCAATAAGCACTGCAGGAGGAAGGTGCCTATAATCCCAGGTACTTGGGAAGCTGAGGCAGAAGAGTTCCTTGAGCCCAGGAGTTTAAGGTCAGCCTGGGTAACATAATGAGACCCCATTCCCTTAAAAAAAATAATAAAGTTAGATATTCTTTTGCTAAAGACTCTCTAAAAGAAAAAAAAATCAGGAGATAATACAATTCTGACAATAACTATCTCTGTATATTTTTAGGAAAGGAGAAAGATAAAGTGGCTGATGGTATAACATCTGAGCAAGTGCCTAGATTGATTCGTTAAAGGATACTATGAAAAGGTGGAAAAAAGGGTATGCAATCAAGTATGATAAAATAATATTAGGAATACTACAATCCAAAGTAAACTAGGTTTCAGAAATATGTTAAGAAAAAAATAGATTTAAAATTAGGCATATAGTAAGAAGACAATGAAGAAAGATATATCTCCTTTTTACATGAATAATAAATTGCAAAGAGAAAGAGAAACTGGAATTCTAACCTTGCTTTCCTCTTCTCAAACAAGAATAAAATACAGACAAGAAAGAGTAGAACACATATTGGAAATGGGAAATAAAATCTTAAACAGAAGAAATCACAGCACTATCTCATTCTGGTAAATCGTTTCAGCGTTATGGTCTTGTTCCCAACATGCCCTTCCAGCTCTAAATTTAATTCTGCTATTTGAAGATGAGGGACACATTTTCAAGTTCGAAGTAGGGAAGGGTTTATTTTTACTAAAACCAGGTCTACCACAGTGCCTGCTTCACTTACAGCCTTTATTATTAAAAACGCCCCAGCCCCAGCTGAAAAGGGTAGCCCTATGTAGATCACATAACCTTGCCTTCTGGCTAAAGCTGATTAGACCAAGAGTGTGACCTTGGCCAAATTATGCCAGTGGCATAATGAAGCAAAATGATTTGGGCTAAACAAATCGGATTCTCTCAAAATACTAATTTGGAAACATGGAAAGAGCCAAGGTGTTACCAATAGATGTGGGGCTTAAAAAATTTCTATAGATAGGTGTCTTGAGTAGAGTCAAGGCCATGAGGGGGGTTATGGAAAACAGAACAAATAGGAAAATATATATTGAGGAAGCACAGGCTGTAAAGTAGAGAAAAGGTGATACAGAAGGCCTTAGGAAGAGTATTAACCAGTGACAGAAGATCAGCCACGGTGGGAGGGGCAGGCATTGCATGAGGTTAGTGGATGTAAAGCTGCAATCTTGGTATCTGAACCCTACTGGGAAGATCAACAGATCCCGTGCAGCTGCTAAAGCATTTACAGCAGCACTGTATGCTCCAAGATTCTGAACTGACATTCCATTCTCCTAGGACTGGAGTGCATAGCTGTCCTTGAACTCCTAAGAAATTCATGCTTTTCTGTCAATTCTGTCCTTAGAATTAACTCTCTCACACTCAGAAAAAAAAAAAAAAAAAAGAGGAAGTTGGTATGTATGACAGCCCTGGAACCAGAAAGATCTCCATTGGAGGCTGTTCAGGATTTAAAGGAAATTCTATAATTTCATCTTTTTAGAGTGAATAATTTAATCTGCCCTAGGGAGAGGACTTTACTGGTTAATAGTGTGGACCACAGAATTAAGTCATACCTGATTCGAACCCTTGAGTCTGCATAGACATAATGTCAACATTTGAAGCATAAGAACTGTTTTCTTGCTGGTGTATATAGAAGCATCTTGTCCACAGAAGAGTGCTTTCACACAGTAGGTACTTCACAAATATTGGGGAATACATGCATCAATTAGATAAGTTACAAAACTTATCTAAGCCTGTCTCCTCATCTCTAAAATTACACTTGACCTGCCTCTGAGGACTGTTGTAAGGATTACGTGAAATAAACATTTACTGCCTCACCTGGCATGATGAGCACTCAGGAAGTATCCTAATTATTAGAATTTTTATTCCTGCTTCTAAAATAGTTTCAGCTGGTTTACAATATTTGTGCTTTGTAAAGCATTTAGTATTTGTAAAATTGGATGTAAAATCATACGTAAAAATCTAAACACTATATCAACATATAATTTTAAATGTTTTTACATCAATCAAGCATCATATGTATGAAATAATGACCTTTTGGGCTTTGACTCTTTTCCTGATAAGCTTTCATGATCTACAAAATTGCTCAATTCATAGTTGAAGCAATTAAATCAAATACGCTTGTCCAAATTGGAGCCAAGTGTGTGATGTCCAAATTGGAGGCAAGTGTGTGATGTCCATAATGCCCCCCAAATCCCTCCAATAAACAAGTGCCAGAGGTAGCACAATGTAAAAAGTAAATCATGGAAATATCTGTGTTGGGAAGGTGGGGTAAGATAGGAATTGCTAGAGTAATTTTTTTTTACCGTAACTCTCTATACTTGTGCCTATATCACATATTTGAACATAGGACTACCAAACTATATTTGACAGTAACTTAAAACATATTTTTTAATGTTAAAACCACCATGACATTTTTTATCAACAAACTGAAATATTAAATTTGCCATCAGAAGGCATCTTTTAAGTTACATTTGTATTGTATCTGACTACATTCTTTAGCTAGAGAGAAAACACTCAGTTCATAAAAACTGAGAGTGAATTGCCCTGAGAAACTTTTTAGAAACGCATATGTATAGCACACAAACTGGAACATGAAACCTGCTAAATGGAAGGTAAACATTTGACTTAAGGATGAAAATGAAAGTTAGTTTAGAAAATACTTTGATTTCTGGAAGAATCTCTATGAAACTATTTATGGTTGTGACTCTCTTAATTATTGTAAATTTTTATACTTTTCTCTATTCTTCAAATTCTATAATAAAATATATAAGCCAACAAAGTTCTGAAATGTGACAGGTTTCCTTCCTACTAAGAGAGTAATTAAATAACAAATTAATTTAGTATAATAAAACATAACTATTAAAATTTGTTTAAACACTATCACTGTTTAAATTGCATAAAGATCCACTTAAAGGTTTTGGGTGAAGCTACATATGACTAAATTTTATAATTTAAAAATCTAAATGTATTCATTTTAAGTGCCATTAATATTAAAAATTTTGTCCTCTTCCTAACTAAAAATTTCCAGTTTTAAGCTTAGAGTAAATTAAATCTCCTACTTTGGCAAAGTTAGATGAGAATTAGGCTGTGAGGAATGAAGATGTTAGGAAAAGATGGAAGAGTGAAGATATGCATCTACTTCCCCTACATCTCTAAACTCCATTAAAAAACAGCAGGAAAGGAATTTTTAGTGGTAAAAACCAGAAACAAGAAGAAGTGAAAAGAAGAAAATGTCAAGAAAACTAGAATCCAGAAAGCAAGTAGATCCGTAAATGACAGGCCACCTGAAAAAACTGTATTAAAACCCTGTAGTGAGAGAAGACGAAAACCATAGTATCTCTCTTACTCTTCCTAATGTTGTAGCAATCACAGCTCTTCATTGTGATTATCTTTTTACTTACCTGTCTCCCCCACTGGACCCACGACATAGGAAATAGGGTTTATTTTTCTTTGTACCATAGTGCCTAGCTACTGCTTGTTTCACACAAAGTAGGTTCTCATAGATGTTTATGAGACTAACGAATACAACTCATGTTACTGTGATAAACAAGTACTCATAATAATCCCTGTCTCTCATCCACTTGATGTGTTCTGTAAACTATAAAGTGACTACTCCTAGTTTGTTTGGTTTTGCCCTATTATTAATCAACAGGCCTCTCTAATTCTTTAAATCCTATTACTTGTTCAGAGCTATTTCTGCAAAGGTCATCAATATCCGGGGATCTTAAATCTAAGCTTAAACCTGCCGAAGTTCAAGAGGAGTTCAGTAGACAGGGATTCTCACCCACTGAACAAGGACACCAGGCAGAGACCCAAACTGTGAGTCCACAAGTAGTCTTCTTGATCATATAATTTTAAAAATTTTACCTTAGGGGAAAAATAATGATTCGCTGTTCATATATTACTGTGTTAATTTAAAATAGTTCAAAGTACATAAAGTATTGATTTCTCTACTATAAAGACAATTAAATACTGTGTATCTTCTCTCTTTAAGTGATTTGCAACAGTAATCTTCACTAATAAAGATTCAGAGTTGTGCTCGCTTCGGCAGCACATATACTAAAATTGGAACGATACAGAGAAGATTCAGAGTAAACATGCAATTTTGAGCCTGATATTCTAGACTGTTAAAATAAGACCATGACTGGCTAACTCATTTTGCAATTTTAAATTTCCTTTGAATGAAGAGAGAGCTGAAGGGAATAAATGATGATTCCTTGCACTTTATGTTTGAAGATTTGGCCCGCAAGTTGTGAAAGGGAGTGCAGTAGTTGCCCTTTATCCAAGAGGAATATGTTCCAGGACTCACACTGGATGCCTAAAACCATAGTAGAACTGAATCCTGTGTATACTACGTGTTTTTCTAAACATACATACCTGTGATGAAGTTTATTTATAAATTAGACACAGTCAGAGGTTAATAATGACTAATAATAAAATGGAACAATTATAACAATATGCTAGCATTGTAATGTTTGCTCTTTGGGACTTTATTAAGTAAATGAGGGTTACTTGAACACAAGCACTGCAATAGTCAATCTGATAACCAAGATTGTAGTTCATACAGGGTGGATATGGTAGACAAAGAGATGATTCATGTCCCAGGCCACACAGAGCAGGATGATGTGAGATTTCATCAAGCTACTCAGTACACAGCACAATTTAAAACTTGCAAATTGTTTATTTCTGGAATTTTTCATTTAATATTTTTGGACCAAGACTGACCAAGGGTAACTGAAATCACAGAAAGCAAATCCTTAGATAAGTGAAGACTACCATGTTTATCCAGCGCTAAGGCATGTTTTGAGGCTTTTGTTTAGTAGTATGTTGCTGTTGTGGTTTGTTGGTGGTTTTTAATTTTTAAGTAGAAATAATGTTTGTTTCAAAAGTTTACTTTAGAAATTTAATGAAAGAGAAATAATGTTTTTAAAAGAAAATAACACTGAGAGTTTGTTGATATTTGTTAAATTCGGTAAAAATTTTCTTTTAACTATATTCTTCTATTTTGTTCCCATGGAGGTTATTATTATTACTAATAAACCGTACAGTTTGCATCATGAAAATGAGTGCAGTAATTGATTTGCAATGGAGTATTTTTATTATCTACAAAAATAGCTTTTAACTATAGCATCCATTTATATATATATATATATATATATATATATATATATGTCCATTATATGTGCTACTTAGAATCACTTTAGATTAAAGCTAAAACTTTAGAGAGCATCTAATTCATCATGACAATTTCTGCCTAAATATTATGTTTATAAGTGGATTTGATATTATATAAGTCATTATCAAAATATAGTGAACCATTCATAATAATGTCTGCAGTGTAATTCAAACAATATGTACAGGAATATGTATATTTACAAGACAAAGAGATACCTAAAAAAAGTAACTGTTATAAATTTCTAACAATTCTATTTTCTCCAGAACAAGTAAAAGAATATCTGTACGTTGTAGTAGTAAACTTGGATAGGTGGATGTCTTTTCACTAGGAGCAGGAATTCAGTTACGACTTTTAAAGCTCATATTCCCAGAGTAAGTTTTTTTACTGATGATACAGGATAACAGATAGAAAATTGATGTTTGCTATGCATTCCTAGCATACAAATTGTTTAAAAGGCTCCCTACAACTCCCCTGCCCAGTCTCATTTGTTGAAAAAGCAAAACTACTTGAGTAGGGTAGAAACAGGAAATACTACATCTGTTCTACAGTGTCTTATATCAAAATTTCTGTCATAGTTTTTCTATCAAAGTTCTTAGGAACTTTATCTAGATACTGAGGGTGGGGGGAAATCAGGCATAAAGTAAGGAACATTTTCAATAGCATCAAGATGAGTGTTTTATATTTAAAAGAAAGAAAAACTAACATTTGCTGACGGCAGTCGGCAAATTTTCTAATTTGTTATAGCCATTTTGAGGACTGTGTGTCCTATATTCCACTCATGTGTCTCAAAATTTAATTTTAAAGAAAATGCTTATTATGATACCACAAAATGTAAAAGTTGATCTATCCCAAAATTAACAACTAACACAAATGCAGGTAGCAACAAAAATCCTAAGTTTGGTCTTACTCCATTAGAGAAATGAAATTCAACAAACAAACATATGCAAAGCGTTACAACATAAATGCAAAAAGGAAAATCAAACAAAAAATCACTTATGATCTGCAAAATCATAGGTAGCGAAGACAATTCATTGGAAAACAAGTATGTTACATTCAAATTAAATAATCATTCCCATTTTCACTTAGGCATACATCTTCAGAAAGCCTTTTTACTATTTTTCAGGGCAATTTCATGGCTTTTTTTTTTTTTTTTTGAGACAGGGTTGTGCTCAGTCTCCCAGGCTGGAGTGCAGTGGCATGATCTCAGCTCACTGCAACCTCTGCCTCCAGGGTTCAAGCAATTCTCCTGCCTCAGCCTCCTGAGTACCTGGGACTATAGATGTGCACGGCCATGCCCAGCTAATTTTTGTATTTTTAGTAGAGACGGGGTTTCACCATGTTGGCCAGGATGGTCTCGATCTCTTGACCTCGTGATCCAGCCGCCTCGGCCTCCCATCATGCTGGGATTACAGGTATTAGCCACTGTGCCTGGCCTCATGTGCATTTCCTATGTTTCATGACCGCAAAATTAGTCTCCTTTCTATTTTGTATGTTCTTAAATGCCTTGTGGCAAACAAACGCTGCCAAAAATAAATCAAGATATTGCAATAAAGGATCTTAGCCAATAACGAAGTAGAAGAATATAAAAGATTTAAGAAAAAAATGTGCAATATGTATGTGACTATGTACACACATGCACACACACAGAAACACACACACACATTCTTTGGGCAGGGAAGCTAACTAGGCATAAACAGTGCATATATATATATTATTTCCTAAATATAATTTATATTAGTTTGACTATGTTCATTATTAATTTCAAATATTTGGTTTTACTATTTTTAGTTTTTAATTATTTACTAATTATCAAGTCTTTACTCAATACCTATTGTCTAGTACAAATAATGTAGAGTTTGCATAATTTCATTCATTTAATCTTCATGGGCCTTTTGAAGTAAACACTATAACTACTCTAATTTTACAGATGAGAAAGCTAAACCACAGAGAATTTTAGTGATTTGCTCAAGGTCACACAGCCAACAATTGGTTGAGCTGGATTTGAATCCGCATTGTCCAAGTGCTAATCACTATGCTAGACAGCCATTTGGAAGCATTGTAATATATAATTCCTGCCGTCACAAGAGGCTTAGTTAATCCTTTGAGGAAAAGACAAATATAAATAAATGAGAGAATAATTCAAGAAATTGTTATGAGGCATCAAATCCCCTCTTTATTGATTAAAGCCTAAATACATCTCATACTTATTCTCAAGGTCATTAAATAAAATAGGGGCATGGAGTAGAACAAGAGGAAATTATGGCTTGGCCAAAATAATTAGATCCACTTTTATGATTTCAGAGACACTGAAGGTCTCCACAAGCCCAGTAATACTTCCATGATCTCGCATGGTGTTGTCAAACCTATCTGATATGAAATGCTCCCCGCTGATAATTTATTTTAGTAAGAAAGAAAAGGCAGAACTGCTTTCTATAGTGTCCAATATGACATTGGGGAAGATACTCATGGCAGGGGTTAAAACACTTCACATTAATGTATCTGTCACGGTGAGCACATTCGCTTGGCTTAGTTGATCAGATTAGCCCACAGTCACCTTGGAAAACAGGAAAGCAGAGACGTAAGGAGATGTATGGTTAGAGGTAGAGAAAGGTAGGATATAAAGCCCTGCAAGGGTGACCAGAATACAGTGTGACACTCTGTGAGGCACAGATCCAGACACCAAATGTAGATTTCTAACAACAGAATGAAGCATAATGTACATCCATGGAAAGATGTCGGGTATCCCATAGGTAGAGAGATAAGTTAATGTTTTGCTGTTTAACTTCTTTACTTTGTACTTGGGGAAACTAGGATCAGAATAAGACAGTGAAACCTTTCATTATAATTTGCAAAAAGAAAAAATGTATGAGGATACATTTACCTGAACTTCAGCCCTTCTAAACAAAATAGATGATTTCTATTGAGCATCGCCCTTTTAGTTTGCTAAGGATAACAACAGTTATTGAAATGCTAAAAATATTTTTTCTTTGTATGGAAAATATTGCATGTGATATTTTTTAGATGTTCTACTACTTGATCTAACCTGAACTAAAGTGAGTACATATGCTCTATACTAAGTCTGTATACTACTCTTCTGATTCGCTTTTTTACAGCAATACCCTTGATTTTACTGCAGTTAGTGTAGAATACTAATATTTTCCTTAGACATCAAAACAAGCCAGAAACTGGCCAAAGAAATAACTGACATTTACATTACCTAACATACAGGGGAATACTGGCCTATATTTTTGTGGGCTCTTCTGTGGCATCCCGAGACTGGGGGTCCACAGGCATGGAAAGAACTACTGAATAGTCAAAAAAAAAAATGAAAGAGTTATTTTAGACATGCTTCATTTTCCTAACTGCAATTTTAAAGGGTAGGTGGGGAGACCTGAAAAATCCAGAGGCTCAAAGCTTTAGAAATTAAATAAAAGGCAGGCTATGGAGACACAGAAATAGTGGACAGCATCTGTGTAAAGTCATTCTTTGCAAAAGTCAGAACCAGGGGCTATGAACTGAATTATATTCTCTCAAAATTTATCCATTGAGCTTCTAACCTCCAATATAACAGTATTTGGAGATGGGACTTCGTAAAAGTAATTAAAGTTATATGAGGTCAAAGGGTATGGCTCTGATCCCACAGGAGTACAAGATACCAGGGAGCTAACCTGCTCTCCGTCATGTGAGGACACAGTGAGACGGCAGCCACCTTCGATCCAGGAAGAAGGCCTGCACCAGAAGCAGCCTTACTAGATCTTGATATGAAGCTTTTAGCCTCTGGAACTACGAGAAAATTAGCTTCTGTTTATTAAGCCACACAGTGGATATTTTGTTATAGCAGCCCAAGCAGACAAAGGCACCTGGCAGCTGTGCTTATTTGTGACTTCTGACAAATAGAAGAGCGGCAGAAAGTTTGAGAGAGTGAAGTTTTAGTTTTCAAACATAAGCCACAAACTGATATTTTATACAAAACTTGGGCTAGATCATGAGAGGCTTAAGAAACAGACTTATTTTAGAAATTGATCTTAAAGATTTCTGAATTTGGACAGGCGCAGTGGCTCACGCCTGTAATACCAGCACTTTGGGAGGCCGAGGCAGGCAGCTCATGAGGTCAGGAAATCAAGACCATCCTGGCTAAGACAGTGAATCCCCATCTCTACTAAAAATGCAAAAATTTAGCTGGGTTTGGTGGTGCATGCCTGTAGTGCCAGCTACTTGGGAGGCTGAGACAGGACAATCACTTGAACCCAGGGGATGGAGGTTGCAGTGAGCTGAGATTGCGCCACTGCACTCCAGCCTGAGTGACAGAGCGAAACTCTATCTCAAATTACAATAAAAATTAAAAAAAATTAAAAACAGTGTCTAGAGTACCCAGCACATAGTAGCTTCCTTAAAAGTTGCTGCTGTCATTTATGAATTATTTACAACATATGAAACAATTATGAGAAGTGCGACAACAAATAAAAACTTGCCTCCATCTTCAAAGAATTTACAATAGTGGAGAAAAACACGTAAAAATAAACACTATAAGTTGTTGTGGATGCTAGGAGAGAAGTCAGTCTATATCACAGAGTGATTAGATAATCCCAACTATATGAAAATCTACCAATAAGCTACAATAGCTAGTGTTGAAAGCAAAACTCTAGCCGGGCGTGGTGGCACATGCCTGTAATCCCAGCTACTCGGGAGGCTGAGGCAGGAGAATCCCTTGAACCTCAGAGGCAGAGGTCTTGGTGAGCTGAGATGGCGCTATTGCACTCCAGCTTTGGCAACAAGACTGAAACTTCATTTCCAAAAAAAGAAAAAGAAAAGAAAAGAAAAAGAAAGCAAAGCTCTTCTTAAGCAATACTGAGAATATACAAGTCAATTTAAAACTACATATTCTGATTAGATTAAACAGATTTGAAGTAACCAAGGATAATGATGAATGAAATGTTTAGGGGTAGATTTTTTAAGCCTTTTAAAACTAATGTTTAAAAATTTTACTCATTTTCTTTCCATTCTAGATCATTGCTATCTTATGCGAAACAGGAGAAACAAGCAGGACCATTTATATTTGTCTCATTTTATTTCTTGGTAATTACTAAACCATAGTTGGGAGGTGTTAGAATTTTGAGGACAAAGTTTGAGAAGTGTTATCCTATATAAGCTATTATTTAAAAATATTAAAATCCTAAATTAAGAGGAAAATAAAACCCTAACTTGCTAAAATTCTATTTTAATCTGTACTTCTCACCAATATCAAATTTTAGTATTACTTTTGAAGAGAGTGATAATATTATTTTAAGTGCATGTTATTCTGTCAGAGGTCATCCATGTACAATTTAACTTAACAAAGATTTTCACTGTAACAGTACTATAACGATTTAAAATAAAAAACATACAAAATCACATATTTTTATACTTATGTGATGAGGAAAATACAGTAATTCTTTTGAACCAAAGCAAATCTTGGTGAAGGTAAGATTTTCACCTTCTGTCTTCTTGCCTTGCTTTATTACCAATTTCCAATCACACAAAGATGTGCTTACCCAAAACCCTGTAATAATCCTATTGTAATTTTAAATGTTTCAGCCTAAAGTAGACATGGAATTTTTTAACCATGAAATAATATCATTGTAAACCAAATGTTGATTATATTTCTAAATGGCTGATACATTATATGCACATATGTAAAAGATATATTTTTAATTTATTTAACAGACTCATAAAGCAGTTACTATGTGCTGAGATCTAAGCACTTTGCAAATATTCCAATTATATTACTTATACCAGCCAGGTGGCTCACACTGTAATCCCAGCACTTTGGGAGGCCAAGGTGGGCAGTTCACTTGAGGTCAGGAGATCAAGACCAACCTGGACAACATGGTGAAACCCCATCTCTACTAAAAATACAAAAATTAGCCAGGTGTGGTGACCCATGACCATAATCCCAGCTAGTAAGAAGGCTGAGGCATGAGAATCCTTGAAGCTGGAAGGCAGAGGTTGCAGCGAATGGAAATTATGCCACTGCACTCCAGCCTGGGCAACAGAGCAAGATGCTGTCTAAAAGAGGCAAAAAATAATTACTTGTATAATGCTAATGTGCATTTTGAAGAGGATAAGTTTTTTCGGGATAATCAGAAAACCCCAGAGTGAGTTGATGACAGGGCAAATTAATAGGAAGGTAGATGAAATCTATTAATAGCTAATAATAATCTACTTGTGTCTTCCTCTAGGTGCTTCATGCAGTGCAAACAAACACACTCATGTCTTAATAGTTTTCTTTCAATCTGCTCACTGCTTTCCTGGCAGTAAAGAGTAACAAATTTTGCTAATTGTACTCTAACTCAAGTGGAGGCATTAGGTAAGGATGGACTCTGTCCTTTACTTAAACAGGCAACCCAGCTGATTTAAGTCTTAGTACTAGTGAGCACCATACTGGAAGAGTTTTGCTCTTCAGGTGATTCAGAGCCCAGGAAATGCCTAGCATTAGGATATTCTCAACATATATTAATCCAATCAACAAACAAGTTTTGCCATTAGTAACTGGATTATCTTTTCATAAAGGGATTCCTTTAAATTGGTGAAAGCCTTTTCTGGAAAAGGCATTTCTTTTTCCCAGTAGATTGTCAACTAGGTAAACAACAAGCAAGTCAAGAAGAAAGCTATACCGTGTGCCTTCAGCATTTGAAATAAAATTATTTTTAGATTTTCCTAGAGTTATGTATATTTACTGAGAATAGTAGCTACCACAAATTAACAGTCCAGTCTTTAAAGAGACTGGATTGAGTCTCTATTTTTCTGGAAACTGAAGAGCTATTGAAATTATCAAATAAATTTCCATTTCTTTGTTCTGTAGTTTTCTTCAAAAATTTTCATGTTTTTTGAGATGCAAAATTTATTTTTAAATAATTGCAGTAATAAAATGGTTTTTTGTCCAGTAGTTTTTACTTATTTCCATTTTCCATTATGTTTTTAAATTACTAAAGCCATTATAATTCTTTATTATATTTATACATACCTAAATATTGTAAAATTGATTGGCTTTCCCTTGACAGTCTTTTCTTGTTCAAGTAGAAAAAATCAAGTTGGCAAAGACATTTGACCTTCAGTGATTCTGGATAGGGATTGCAAAAAGAGAAACAAAATTGCAGAACCGGTCCTGGTGTTGAGACCAAAGGTAAAGGCAAAAGAGAAATCAAGAGAGGGTTCTGTCTTATTACCCTGTGCCTTGGGAAGCCACCAAACAAACCAAATGCAGGATTGAAGTGTAAATCTACAGAAAACTCAGATAAATTTCAAAGTATAAACTGTGTGACATTAGTACTTAAAACTGACTTCAAAAGAAAGAGGCAAAGCAAAAAAAGTGAAAGAATAAAGCATAAAAAGAAGATAGTTTATCTACTACTGGTATGTCCTCCCTGACTTGAAAACTTCAGGAAAATCACAACTATCTGGACACCCGAGAGAATATGTTAGCATGCATAATAACTGAGTTTTCCAGATGGTCCAAAGCTAAACAAGGAAATGGGTTTCAGAGTGTGAACCAGATAGAATTAAAGAAGAGATTCTACATGAAGGCACCATGGAGTTTCATATAAATAAAAATCCAAGTGCTTTTAGTGATTTTCTATTTTATCCTCTCAAAAATACTATAACTGACAGGGTGTGGTGGCTCACTCCTATAATCCCAGCACTTTGAGAGGCCAAGGTGGGAGGATCTCTTGAGGACAGGAGTTCACCACTAGCCTAGGCAACATAGCAAAAAATAAAAAATAATTAGCAGGGCATAATGTCACACACCTGTAGTTGCCGCCACTCGGGATACTGAGGTGGGAAGATCACTTGAGCCCAAGAGTTTGCCGGTACAGTGAGCTAAGACTGTACCATTGGAGGAGATCCACGACGGCTGAACAGGAACAGCTCCCGAGTGCAGTTCCCAGTGAGAACAGCGCAGAGGGTAAGTGCTCACATTTCCAAACAAGTTTTCACTGCCCACAGACCAGGAGATTCCCTGGCGAAAAGCGCCACGAGTTTTCAGCATGGCGGTTTCAGCCGGTGCTGCGTCTGTGCAGAAACTCACACCAGTCTGGGCGGCCCTTTCGACTGGCGCCGCAGCTCAGCAACGCCTCTGCTAGCAGACTGTGACTAGACTACTCTGTGTGGGGCAGAGCATCTCTGAACAAAGGCAGCAGCAAGACAGGAAATTATAAAGCCGGCCTTCCTGGGACAGAGCACCTGGGAAAAGAGGCGGTTATGAGTTCCGCTGCAGCAGACTTAAAGGTACAGGCTAAGTAGCTCTGCAAGGAATGGCGGAGCTCCCAGCACAGCATTTGAGCTCCTATAAGGGAAAGACTGTCTCCTCAAGCAACTCCCCGACCCCGTATACCCAAAGAGACACCTCATAAAGGACAGACAGCTCAGGCTGACATCTGGCAGGTACCCTTCTGGAACGAGGATAGCAGAGGAAGAAACCAGTAGCAACCCTTGCTGTTCTGCAGCCCCCAAGGCTGATCCCCAGGTGAGCGGGGTCTGGAGTGGACCTCCAGCGGTCCTGCAGCAGAGGGGCTGGACTGTTAGAAGGAAAACTAAGAAGCAGAAAGAAATAGCTTCAACATCAACAAAAAGGACGTCCACTTAAGAGACCTCATCTGAAAGTCACCAACTACAAAGACCACAGGTAGATAAAGCCACTAAGATGGGAAGAAACCACCGTAAAAAGGATGAAAACATCAAAAACCAGAACACCTCTCCTCCTCCAAGGGATCACAACTCCTCACCAGCTAGGGATCACAACTCCTCACCAGCTAGGGATTACAACTCCTCACCAGCTAGGGATCAAAGATGGATGGAGAATGAATCTGATGAATGGACAGAAACAGGCTTCAGAAGGTGGGTAATAACAAACTTCTTAGAGCTAAAAGAACATGTGCTAACCCAATGCAAAGAAACTAAGAACATAGAAAAAAGGTTAGATGAGATGCTAATGAGAATAAACAGCTTAGAGAAGAATATAAACGACTTGATGGAGCTGAAAAACATAG